ATGTTTTCAGGGGTCATTCCTCTTCATCAACTAATGGCAATGGGAAATGACCCTGGGACAAAGTGATTACTTGTATCAATCTGTTCTCAGGCAATCCATAAAAATATTTAAACACACGGCAACTTGAGAGGGCAACACATAAAGGAATGCTAACTTGGGAGTATTCCCATTTGAAAAACAATTAGCGAAATATAGGAATTCTGTAACAGGTAAACAATGAAGTTCATTCAACTTATGAAACTATTTGTGCAGTCATAAATTATTGTAATCTCTCAGTAGAGAAGCTGCACGTCTTTCAGTTCCTTCTTGGAGTATGAGTATACAAACAATACTTGTTTGAATATAAAAGCCATTACCCACTGTCATTTCTTTAACTCACAACACATTTTATTTGTCTATCTTTAGCTTTGCCCAAATTAAAACAATTATATTAATCCAACACAGGGGCTGACTTTTTTTGAAAATGCAGAAAAGCATATTAAACCCACTTTTAACCACATGCCGCCCAGTCACTGTAGAAATACATTGGCAGGGCGGCACAGCTGGGCAAAACCACGTTTTAAAATGTGTGTTTTCAAAACAGGTAGGGGGCGCCCTACCTGTCCCGCCGATCACAGCCGCAGATGTCAGTCGCCGGGTCACAGCCGATCGTTACCGGCTGTGTCCCGGCGATTAGCGGCAATTACTGACAGAGAGCAGGGCTGCAGTAGCTCTGCTCTCTGTTAGTTCCCTGACAGCTCCTGACAGGCTGATAGGAAGAGAAGAGTTTATCTCTCCCGATCAGCGATGTTCCCTGCAGTACACACCCCCGCCCCCTAGTAAACGCTATAACTTTCACGTAAACCAATTCATTTACACGTATTAGGGTTTTTTTTAGCAAAGACATGTCGCAGACTAAATTTGATTTTTAAATTTTTTTTTACTAGACATGTTTTATAGCAAAAAGTCCAAAATATTGTTTTTTTTTCCTCAAAATTGTCAGGCTTTTTTTGTTTATAGCGCAAAAAATAAAAATCACACAGGCGATCAAATATCACCAAAAGAAAGCTCAATTTGTGGGAAAAAAAGGATGTAAATTTCATATACAGTTGCAAGAAAAAGTATGTGAACCCCTTGGGATTACGTGGAGTTTTGCATGAATTGGGCATAAAATGTGCTCTGAACGTCATCTAAGTCACAACAATAGAAGAACACAGTCTGCTGAACATAATACTACACAAACATTAGATGTTGCCACAGTTTAATTGCACATAACATGTAAATATTCACAGTGCAGGGAGGAAAAAGTATGTGAAGCCCTAGCTTAATGACTTTTCCCAGAGCTAATTGGAGCCAGGAGTGAGCCAACCTTGACTCCAATCAGTGTGATGATATTGGATGTGTTGCTGACAGCTGTCCTGCCCTTAAAAAACACACACCTGTTTTGGGTTTACTGGTTTCAAGAAGCACTGTCTGATGTGAACCATGCCTCGCAGAAAAGAGCTCTCAGAAGACCTACGATCAAGAATTGTTGACTTGCATGAAGCTGGAAAGGGTCAAAAGTATCTCCAAAAGCCTTGATGTTCATGTGTCCACGGTAAGACAGACTGTCTACAAATGGAGAAAGTTTAGCACTGTTGCTACTCTCCCTAGGCGGGGTCGTCCTGTAAAAATGACTGCAAGAGCACAGCGCAGAATGCTGCATGAGGTAAAGAAGAATCCCAGAGTGTCAGCTAAAGACCTACAGAAATCTCTGGCACATGCTAACATTTTTGTTGACACATCTACAATCAGGAGAACATTAAACCAGAATGGAGTACATGGGAGGACACCACGGAGGAAGCCATTGCTGTCCAAAAAGAAGATTGCAGCACGTTTGAAGTTTGCAAAAGAGCACCTGGATGTTCCACAGCACTACTGGCAAAATATACTGTGGACAGATGAAACCAAGATTGAGTTGTTTGGGAAGAACACACAACACTATGTGTGGAGAAAAAAAGGCACAGCACACCAACATCAAAACCTCATCCCCACTGTAAAACATGGCGGAGGGAGCATCATGGTTTGGGGCTGCTTTGCTGCCTCAGGGCCTGGACGGATTGTTGTCATTGATGGGAAAATGAATTCCAGAGTTTATCAAGACATTTTGCAGGAAAACATACGACCATCTGTCCGCCAACTGAAGCTCCGCAGAGGATGGGTGATGCAACAGGACAATGACCCAAAGTGTACAAGTAATTCAACAAAACAATGGCTGCAACAGCACAGAATACGCCTTCTGGAGTGGCCCAGTCAGAGTCCTGACCTCAACCCAATTGAAATGCTGTGGCATGACCTTAAGAGAGCGATTCACATCAGACATCCCAAGAATATTGCTACACTGAAACAGTTTTGTGAAGAGGAGTGGTCCAAAATGACTCCAGATCGTTGTGCAGGTCTGATCTGCAACTACAGGAAACGTTTGGTTGAGGTTATTGCTGCCAAAGGAGGGTCAACCAGTTATTAAGTCCAAAGGTTCACATACTTTTTCCTCCCTGCACTGTGAATGTGTACATGTTATGTGCAATTAAACCATGGCAACATCTAATGTTTGTGTAGTATTATGTTCAGCAGACTGTGTTCTGCTATTGTTGTGATTCAGATGACGTTCAGAGCACATTTTATGCCCAATTCATGCAAAACTCCACGTAATCCTAAGGGGTTCACATACTTTTTCTTGCAACTGTATGTAACGTATTGCATGACTGCACAATTGTCAGTTAAACTAGCGCAGCGCAAAAAAAATGGCGTAAATTGCAGTATCTATACCATAGTTTGTAGACGCTATAACGTTCACATAAAGCAATCAATATACACTTATTGGGATTTTTTTTACCAAAAACATGGAGCAGAATACATTTTGGCCTAAATTTATAACTAACTTTGAGTTTACTATATATTTTTTATAGCTGAAATTAAAAAATATTGGTTTTCTTCAAAATGTTTGGTCTTTTTTTGTTTATAGCGTGAAAAATAAAAAGCGCACAGGTGATCAAAAATACCACCAAAAGAAAGCTCTATTTGTGTGAAAAAAGGACGTAAATTTTGTTTGGGTGCAGCATTGCATGACCGCGCAATTATCAGTTGAATTAGTGCAGCGCCGAGTAGCAAAAAGAGGCCTGGTCATTAAGGGGGGTAAATCCTCAGGAGGGCAAGTGGTTAATTACAGTGACTGGATGACTTTAAACATACAGTAAAACTGCTCACTGCCATAAAAGCTGCTAGCAAGTATAAAGACCTAGTGGTCTCTACACAAGCAGCTCTCATTGGCCCATCTACAGTGGGGGAAATAATTATTTGATCCCCTGCATATTTTGTAGGTTTGCCCACTTACAAAGAAATGAAGGGTCTATAATTTTTTTCATAGGTGTATTTTAAATGATAGAGATGGAATATCAACCACAAATCCAGAAAGCACATGATACAAATGTTATAAATTGAGTTGCAGTTTAGCAAATAAAATAAGTATTTGATCCCCTACCAACTGACAATAATTCTGGAGCCCACAGACTGGCTATGTGCTCATGTGGTACACAGATTAGTCCTGTCAATTTAGGAAGGTGCTCCTAACAACAACTTGTTATGTGTATAAAAGACACCTGCTCACAGAATCTCATTCATATGACATCCTCCCATTCTAACCGCGCATGCGCGGGTCCGGGAGTGCGCAGCGCGGGAGATCGGCTTTGTGCTGTGTCCCTCGGACACAGCGGAGCACCGATCAATGGAAAGAACCAAAGAAGTCGGCTCAGTCATGTGATGAGCTATGTCAAATCACAGCTGACCGCATGTAAGTAGGGAAATGCCGGTTACACTGTTCAACAAATTTTTATTTTTTGCCAGTTTTGGAAACAAAAGGATCCATTTCTTAATGAATTTCACATTCTGAGTTCAAATATAACAATGAAATTTGTCAATTGGCTCTAGTTTTTCTGTAAACAGAAAGTTTTCTACTATAGGCGTAATGACTACATAATGCACAATAATTATATAGATAGATGTCTTTCCACAAATATAAAGCAAGTGATATTGACTACATAACAAAGCCTAAATGGCATAATATATTGCATAGGATTACCAAGAAAAATTATAGCCATAAGCTAAGTTGAATCATTTTAATACTTAGGATTCTCACTAGTTTTGTCTTCAGTTTGTGTCGGTTTTGCTTCTCTTGGCTTTTCTCTTGTATTCGAGGAAAGGGCTAACCCTTACAACTGCACGTGACTACACGCTTCGTGGTTGAGTCAAGTGAGGAAGAACCTGAAGGATTCTGGTGCTTTAGGAATTGGTAGCCCCTCTCCATGAGGAACTGGACATATTGCCGATGGAATATTTGGATAGTGCACAGATAACTTTTTCTTCTTATTTAGCCCTTTTACAATTGGAGGCACCATACAAAAGTAACAATTACTAACATGATCTGTTGGCTCTCTCCAAATCATTGGCACAGCGAAAGGCATAGATGCCTTTTTTCCATTCAACCATTGCTCCAGTGCCGTCCCACAAGAATTGCAGCATATATGTGGTGCCCAGCTCTTGTCCTGGTCTCCTATCTTGCAGTCAAAATACAAGTTGTAGGCTTTCTTAATCATTCCTGCTATCCTCCTTTTTTGTGAGATAAAAGTTATTTCACCCGCAGATATAGCAGAAATTATCTGCTTTATTCACACAAGTTCGAGGCATTACTGAGTAGCCTATATAAGCATAAAACGAAATGTAAAGACGCTGTCGAACTACAATCAGCTACAGATACTGCAGCTTTTATGCAGTGAAGTGATGCAATTAAAGGCTAATATTGCATCATCTCAGTATACATGCAATTTTCTATTGGTCACCAGTATCAATTGCGCAATATGCAGCTGAAGTTGCATCATAATTTTGAATGGCTTACGTCATTAGATGGGTGAATATATCATGGAAACTAGAGCCAATCAACATTTTTTAGGGTCATTTTCGTTTTCAGCACCCCAAAATTAAGATTAGCTAATTTTATGCCCAAAACTTTTTACCTGTTGAACAGTGTTATCGGCATTTCTCTCCTCACGAGCTGTCACGCTGACAGCTCAAGAGGAGAGAAGAGATGGTAATCGGCATCCCTCAGAGGGGACATGTACACTGATCATCAGGGCACTGATGATCAGTGTGCCTTGATGATCTGTGTAGCCCCAGCAGTGCCAGCTGTCAGTGCTCATCCATGCCACCTGCCAGTGCTCATCAATGCTACATTTCAGTGCACATCAATGCCACATATCAGTGCCCATCTGAGCTGCCTTTCAGTGTCACCCATCAGTGCCAGTTAGTGCCACCTATCAATGCCAGTTAGTGCCACTTATTAGTGCTGCCAATCAGTGCCGCCTATCAGTGTGCATCAGTGCCGCCTATCAGTGTCCGTCAGTACTGCCTGTCAGTGCCGCCTATCAGTGCCATATATGAGTGCTGCCTTTCAGTGCCCATCAGTGATGCCTGTCAATGCTCATCAGTGCCACCTACCAGTGCCTCCTCATCAGTGCCCATCAGTGCCACTCAGTGTCCATCAGTGCAGCCTATCAGTGCCCATCACTACAGCCTCATTAGCGCACATCAGTGAAGGAGAAAAATCACTTATTTACAAAATTTTATAACAAAAACTAAGAAAAAACGTTTTTTTTTTTTTAGTCAAACTTTTCAGTGGTTTTTGGTTTGTTTAAGAAAAAATAAAAAACCCAGAGTTGATTAAATACCACCAAAATAAAGCTCTGTCACGAAAAAATTATAAAAATTTTCATATGGGTACAGTGTTGCATGACCACGCAATTGTCATTCAAAGTGCAACAGCGCTGAAAGCTGGAAATTGGCCTGGGCAGGAAGGGAGTATAAGTGCCCTGTAGGATAGTGGTTAATATACTTAGGCTCCATGCAAAAGCTGCTCCTAGGGGAGTTTAGCGTTTTGCCTGTAGAAGCAACTAATGCTATCCTATGTGTCCATGCACATTAGGTAGTCTATAGGCATTTTTTTAAGCTCAGCGTTTAAAGGCAGAAAATAAAAGAATGTTTTCTACCAAAATCACTGGCATTTTTTTAAGCTTGTGTGCATGGAGCCTAAGAAATGCATAAGTAGGAAACAAAAATCTACATCAAAAAAGAAGTATGGCCAAAACTTTCTTGGATCACAGGAGTGCAGTTTGTTGTGAATTCCTGTGACCCCCTTTTCAGCCGATAGTGGGCCTGCTGTAGGCTGGCATCACTCAGTCGATACATGGTCTGGATCGATCCCATCAAATCCAGATGCTTGGACCAGCAGCTGACTCAGCCTCTTAGTGAGCTGCTGAGAGCCTGAGCCAGGCACTCCTGCCCCCTCCACAACCTGGCAGTTTAGTGAGTGTTGGAGGGGCAGAGCAGAGAGCCAGTGACTGAGAACTAAGCAATCAGAAGTCTTTGATCTCTCAGTTCTCGGTCTTTGAAGCAGCATGGGACAGATACAGCATTGGATCGATGCAGGCATAAATAATTGGCATGTCCACCTTTTGCCTTTAAAACAGCATCAATTCTCCTAGGTACCCTTGCACACATTTTTATTAGGAAACTTATCAGGTAAGTTGTTTCAAACATGTAAGGGAACTAATCAAAAGTTTTCTGTGGAATTACGCTGTCTCATTTTCTTTTGTCTCTTGATGTAATCCCACACAGACTCAACGATGTTGGCATCAGGGCTCTGTGGACACCATACCATCTTTTCCAGGACCCCTTGTTGTTGTTCTTTTTTTTTTAGCTAAATATATGTCATGATTTTATTACTTTATCTGATTTATTGAGGTAATTGACCTACTGCAGAATGAATTTAGAACCAACAGTATCCAGATAGTATTGCATGATGGATAATTACATGCCTCTATTTTCACCTTTAGTGAGGCCATTAACTCTGATGGAATCCCCAGCTCCCATGTGCAGAAATGCAGCCCCAGACCTGCACATAACCTCTAACATGCTTCACTATTGCCTGCTGACACTTTCCCTTGTACTGCTCTGTAGTTCTTTCAGGAACAAATAGCCACCTGTGACAGGCAAATATTTCAAATTTAGACCCCTCACTCTAGAGTACCTGCTTTTTTGCTCCACGCCGGTTCACGTTTTTCAGAATAGGCAAGTCACTTTACCTTGTTTGCACATCGGAGATATGGATTTTTTAGCTGCAAGTCTTACATGAAGACCAATTCTGCAATTAGCAGTAAAGGTCTGCATATACCACTATTATCTACACCTTTTAGCAACTAAAAAGAGTTTTTTTAGGGTGCTTAAACCCCTGCCCTGTGCATCAATCTGTTACAGTGATTTTAGATATACACTCACGGGCCACTTTATTAGGTACACCTTGCTGGTGCCAAGAAAATATCCCCCACACCATTACACCACCACCAACAGTCTGAACTGTTGATACAAGGCAGGATGGATCCATGCTTTCATGTCGTTTATGCCAAATTCTGACCCTATCATCTGAATGCTGCAGCAACCAGTTTGCCCATTCTCCTCTGACCTGTGACATCAACAAGGCATTTTTCATCCACAAAACTGCCACTCACTGGATATTTTCTCTTTTGCGGACCATTCTTTGTAAACCCTAGAGATGGTTGTGCCTGAAAAATCCCAGTAGATCAGCAGTTTTTTAAATACTCAGACCAACCCGTCTGGCACTAACAAGCATGCCACGTTCAAAGTTACTTAAATCCCCTTTCTTTCCCATTCTGATAATCAGTTTGAACTTCAGCAAGTCATCTTCACCACATCTATATGCCTAAATGCATTAAGTTGCTGCCATGTAAGTGGCTGATTAGCAATTTGTGTTACCAAGCAGTTGAACAGGTGTACTTAATAAAGTGGCCGGTGAGTGTATAGAGTAAGCATACCACATAACAAAAATACTTTAGCAATAAAGTTGTATTACGCATATACATACAATTATGAAATAGGTACAAATATAAGTACAATTATGTCATACCACGTATGTTACAGTATAGGTATTAACAAAAATACATGCATGTATATAGGTTCAATGAGCACCACTTAAATTATATAGTAGCTGATGTTCAGGAATACACACAGGAATTCAGTACCCGTAAAAGAGTAATGAAAAGGATAGCTGAGCCAGACCCTGGTGAAAAGAGAGAAGAGGAGGTAAATCCAACGTTTGTGGGATGTAAGAACCCCCTTTCTCAAGAACCTGCTTCCTAATTTACCATCTGAGCACATGTTCCTTATATACAATGGTTGCTTCTAGCAGCTGCTTCCCCTGCCGTATATTTTTGACATCACTTTCGGTTCCAGTTTCCGTGAGTGACATCATTTCCGGCTCCTCCTTGCTTTCAAGATTTGCCAAACACAGCATGGCTGGGCCATGTGCCAACCAGCTTCTGATAGATCAAGACTGCACAGGGACAGGGCAAAACTTAGCACAGCAAAAAGATGCATGTAATGTGGTACAAAAAATGCTTAACAAGAACTCTGATGGCTATGATTAGGAAAGGAACAAGTGTACAGCAGGTAAATATAGTATATTAGAAGAAGCAATATGCACCCAAGTTAGGACACTCTACACATATTTAATACAAATATACAGCACAGTGCAAAATTTGTAAGCAGGTGTAAAAAAATGCTGTAAATTATGAATGCTTTCGGAAGTAGAAGTGTTCATGGTTTGTTTTTATCAAATGACAAAAACGAAAAGGAAATGAACAGAAGAGAAATCAAATCAATATTTGGTTTGACCACCCTTTGCCTTCAAAACAGCATCAAATGTGTCGACAATTGCTCACCTCCCTCATGGTATGGCAGATCTCCAACTCTATATACAGAAATGCAGCCCCAAACTTGCAAGGAACCTCTACCATGCCTCACTGTTTCCTGCAGAAGCTTATTATTGTACCGTTTTCCAGCCGTTCGTTAACAAAATGCCTTTTGCTACAACCAAACATTAAAAATTTTGACTCATCAGTCCAAAACACTTGCTGCCATTTATCTACACCCCAGTTCCTCACCCCAGCTCCTGTGTTTTCATGCATAGAACATGGAAACAAGGCTAAGCGACTCAACTATGAGTATGAGTGTATGGCCAACATAAGTTGGCACCAGACCAGATTAAAGAAATACTATAAGGTTTCATTCTTCATTCATACCCTTTGGGTATAAAGTGTCTAGTTTATAAATCCAATATAATTCCCTGTGGAGTTTCAGCCTAGCCGTGTTCCCCCCCTACCTAAGGTCACCCCTGCAAACTTCAGTTCAATGTTCACCAAACCTGATCCAGATCTCACATGAGGTTTGTCCAACATATACCTGTCCACAGGGACACTTGAGAAGATATATCACATTCCTGTAAGAGAAGTTCATAAATCATTTGATTGGAAATATTTTTCCTTATCTTGGGTATGTAAAATTGTTGTTTCTTCTTACAAAATTACATTGAGTGCAATGCCTGCATGAGTACTAACCCCATGGTGTCTGATAGGTGCATAATCAGTTAGTATCTGAGGTCAGCTAATCATTAGAAAAAGCAACATGAACCAATCTGTCTCTAATATTCCATGCTTATTTATGCACAGAGATAACTCTTTAAATGTATCTGTCAATTTTGGGTCTCTACTCAGAACATGCCAGTGCTTCATTATAACATAATGCACCTGGGGGTTAATATTGCAAGTATACACCTCAATGTTTCTTTGCTACAAAGTTTCCGGAAACTCCTGGAAGCAGGAACTGGAAGTGATGTCACAAACAGACTGCATGGGAAGTAGCTGCTAATAGCAGCCATTGTATATAAAGACCATGTGCTCAGATGGTAAATTAGGTAGCAGGTTCTTGAGAAAAGGGGTTCATACATCCCCCAGGGTCTTGCTCAGCTATCCTTTTCATTACTCTATTCTGGATACTAAATATCTGTATAAATTCCTGAGCATCAGCTGCTATATGATTTAAGTGGTGCTCGTTGTACCTATATACATGCATGTATTTTTGTTGGTTGCATTTAACAGTGGAGCAAATACCTATGCTGTATTATGCTTCATGTTATATGACATACAGTGAAGGAAATAAGTATTTGATCCCCTGCTGATTTTGAATGTTTGCCCACTCACAAAAAAATGATCAGTCTAAAAATCGAATGGTAGGTGTATTGTAACACTGAGAGACAGAATAGCAACAAAAAATTCCAAAGAAATGCATGTCTAACAAATTATGCCCTAATTTGCATGTTCATGAGGGAATTAAGCATTTGATCCCCTACCATTCAGCAGGATTTCTGGCTACCAGGTGTCTTTCATACAGGTAACAAGCTGAGATTAGAAGCAGTCTCTTAAAGGGAGTGTTGCTAATCTCATTTTGTTACCTGTATAAAACACACCTGTCCACAGGAGCAATCAAATAATCAGATTCCAAACTCTCCACCTTGTCAAAGACCAAAGAGCTGTCCAAGGATGTCAGGGACAAGATTGTAGACCTACACAAGGCTGGACTGGGCTACCAAACTATCGCCAAACAGCTTGGTAAGAAGGTGACAACAGTTGGTGCAATCATTTGCAAATGGAAGAAACACAAAACAACTGTCAGTCTCCCTAGGTCTGGTGCACCATGCAAGATCTCACCTTGTGGTGAG